TTAAGTGGATAGGCACCAACGTTCTTAATATCATTGTTGTTGTAGCTTAGAAGTTGTTGCCTTGGTGACAGGAATGTTTTGTCACAAAGTTTTAGAATGACATCTGGCCAATTGGTGCTACAGTTACCAAACAATGAACGTATCAATTTCATTACTCGTGCTGCCTCTGTTCCCACCAGGAAGACAGTATCCATACCCACCACTATTCTCATACCAGTTGACTTTCCTGGCATTTCGAGCCTCCTTCTTGATTGAAATCTGTTTGTGCTCATATGATATTGCTCTTGTTGTATTAGAGCATTGCAGTGAAGAATTCAATTATCACACTATTTTCCACAAGCAGTCCTTGCACCAAGCATATTGAGCAAAGAAGAGAGTCAGACACTTTTTTCTCTCTACCCACCACCAAAAATGTCAAACTGAAGCCACTCTGTTTCCACCCTGTCCCTGACACTTTCCCATCCAATGTCATCAACACTTCCTTTTTTCTCATACTAACATAGTATTAGAGTTTATGAAAAAGCAATCTTCAGAAGCATTCAAGATGATACTGCTATTTCTAATACAGTTACCAATCTGATTGCTTGTTAGTACTTCCCTCCAGCACCATTGCTGACAAAGAATTGTAGCAAATAACCACTGGAGAACAGATATGCTGGTGTTTGGTTCTAGTAGTAAATGCTCCAAAAAGAGACAACAATGCATTAAATAATTCCAGCATACCTACTAAGTAGTACATCTGTACTGCTACTATGTCAGTTTTGCTCCTCCAGGAGTACTTCCCCTCCCAGCAACTAGTACTAGAAACAACCTTCTCCCAGCAAGAAGAAGTAATGGTACTAGCTCCCCTAACACCTCTGCTGGGCCACAATCTTAGACATTTTCCAGTTTTTTAAAAAAATGTGTGGTGTGACATTAACAATAAAATGCTTCCGGTCATCATGATGTTGTTGTTTCCAACATTCACATTGGACAACAGCAGCAACAAAAACCCCGGCCCCCAGTATTCAACCCAGACATATCCTTTGCAGAACAACGCCTAGAGTATATGCTATATCATACTCAGTTTTAAAGAAGATTCACCAGCCTTATCTCCATGCAGTTCCAGTTTCTATTTACAGACCGGACTCCCCAGTGTTTTCCAGTCACGATGCTGTTGTTTCTGACATTCTTGCTGGACAGCAACAAGAACAACAATCAAAGTTCCATTAAAACAATCCAATGTGATCATGATGCTTATGTGCTCAGTATCTTCAGTATCTCCAGTAACTCCACCAGCTGGTACATCCATTTGTCTCAGCTGGATTCATCTCCAGTTCTCAAGGACCCGAAGCCCCAGTGTTTAGACCAGTTGTTGTTTCCAACATTTGTGTTGGATAGTTACAACAATAACACCAGCCCCCTTGTTCTCTTAAATTTTGGAATGTCTGATCACACTAATGACTGAACAGAAAGTCATTGGAATTCTTCAAGTGCAATGAAATTGTTTTGCATGCACATGCTTTTTGCTTCAACATGTGCTATTGCTGTACCAGTAGTACAGGTCAATTTTTAATCCCTCAAGTCATTACACAACAATAAAAAGATGGCCCAAAATTGACAAACAGCAGAAAAAACAAACAAACAGAGAGTTAACTAAGGGGCAACTCACTCAAACAGCTAATATAACTTGGTCCCCAACAGATGCTTAAGTACAGTAAGCACATCAATGAAAAGTCAGTAAAAAGACAAATTCAGTGATGCGGGGGGTTACAGGGGGTTATTGAGTATTTAATTATATCACAGTATGTATGTATATCTATCATTAAAAATGTACTGAATTGCCACGGATACAATAATGCAAAAAACAGCCATTTATTTTGGAATACTAGTGGTAGTACTAGTCTACTAAGTTGAAAAAACTTCATACTGGATTTTTAGTGTTCCCCCCTTCAGACTCCCCATTATCATCAACCAGCATTCCGGTCAAAAAAGTTATTCCAGTATTTTTATTCTTTTCCATTTCTATGATTGCATCATCCAAATTTAAGAATTAACACTACTGGCGGTGGTGGATATTTGTGATTAGGTGTTTTGCAGTGTGCTGCAAGTGGAAGTACTAGAAGAATGATGACTTCTTCTTGCTGATCACTGATTTGTGACCAGCAGGCCAATGAATGTCAACATATCACCAAGAAATTCTTTTCACATGCCATCACTTTGTATTTCTTGGAACAAGAATCAGTTTACAGGAGTGCTAAAAACAGCCATTTATTTTGTACTACAATCTACATGGTAACTTTTGTGACCCCCACCTCAGACTCCCCAGCTCTAGGAGTACTATTGCAGTTAAAAAAACTATTCTAGTATTTTTTTCTTTTTGACTTCTATGTTTTCTGATAGAAATATTTATATTATGTTGTTAGAAATCACACAAAGTAGAGGAGCTACTAGTAGGAGAGCCAGAACCATGGTTCTGGGAATACCTAAAATGATCATCCAAGTTGCGCTGGAGGCAAATGACTGGGTGAAGAGGTGAATGTTAGTAGTGAAGGTGGCAGCAGCAGCATGCAGACTGTTCTTTCTTGCAGATAAGCTTTTCATACACTGCTGGTACTACAATTGAAGAAGTAGCTTGTCTGTAATGCTTTCTCCAAAAAAAACATTGCAAACTGTCCTTGAACACATCACCACTGCATTGCCACACTGTACAGCCATGTGCTAGAATTGCTGTATGAGAATTGAGACATTTTCTTTCCTCCCTTTTTGGCTTTTCTGCTTTTTACTACTAGTGTGGCCCAAATCTTCTTAGATGGGATGCTGCTGGCTCTCACCCAGAAAAACTGTGAACAATACCCCCTTTTTCTCTCAAAGGTTGCCATCCCACCTTACAAGTCTATGGGTAGTTTGTTAGTTCTAGTGAGCATTGAATAAACTGCACTCTCTTACTACAAGAGGTGTCATCTGTCAGTACAACAACTAGTAGTAGCAGCATTGTGCATCACAAGGTCCAATGGTTCTGGCTTAGTACTACTAGACAACTAGCTAGTAGTACTAGTAGTAGGATTGCTAGTACGACTAGTTCAAAGTAGTACTACTAGTAGTAGTACTATAAGTAGTGTTATGTAATGTTGGTAGAAGATTACATCAATAGTGCTGGTAGCTAGGAGCTTGCAATATTTTACTCCTGCCTTGTTATCAGGACTTTCTTGAGAGGAACAGTGCAACAAAAAGCTTTTTTGTGTTTGAATACTTCAGTTGATTTAACATATTTTGGCTAGTTATGCCTAGCCAGATGGAATCTGTTGACAGAGGAAATTCAAATATGCACTTTTGATTTCTTTTTCCAATTTTATGTAAATGTTCGTCAATTTGAAAACTTATAGCTTTGGATGCAATTCCCACCTCGATGCAATAAATCTTCCTCAAAATTACTTCCACTTCTCGGTGGCTCAGAAATCTCCTTTGGAAGTAACTTAGTCGGAATGCGACACCAAGGTGGAAAACAATTAATGGTACTAATATCATCTAGCGGATTGATAAAAGGTCTGATTTTACTATGGTCGTTGTGAATCTCTCGACAGAGAATCTTAAAGTTTGGGTGTAGAAAAGATACTATGCATCAGTGTTATACCGTCTTTCGAAAGGACTGAAAAGTTGCATCGTTTTGCATCCGAGGCTGTTCTTTTGCTCTTTGTCATTAGCAGTGATTCATACTGAGGGTGCGTTCTTTTTCACAGAGCCATCTCTTTGCCAACAGAATTATTCCTTACTGTCTTCGTTGATGAGGCGTTCGATGTCAGCTTCTAAATCCGTCGGCACAGATACCTCTCCGTTCTTGCTGACAAGAAACTTTCCTTTGAAATTCCACATGGGATCACCGGCGCCTGTTTCATCTTTGAAAAAACGCCAAACTTCAGGAGCTGTGTCACCCTTGATCTTGCCCAACTTCATCATGATTCCAGGGAAGTTCTTTGACTTTGCGAATTCATTGATTTCTTCGTCATTGTCGAACTCCTGCCAGCCATATTCTCGACTTGGAAATCCAAAAATAATAAGCTTCTTACCCCACCGCTCATTCAAGCTCTCAAACTGAGCGTACTCGCGGCGGGTCGCACCTCACTTGGATGCAACATTCGTGGCGTACACGACCTTCCCACGGAATTCTTCCATTTTCTGAATAGAACCGTCCCCAGTGACGGCGGAGAGTGAATAGAAGGATTTCATCCCTTTTTTCGGTGCAGACGTTGCTAGTTTCGTAGAAGTTGTCCCCATTTGGAACTGTCACTTATGTTTTTGTATGCTGTTTGGTCGACGACGATGACGATTCCTTCTGGTCTTGAGAATTTTGACGACAATCTGCTGTGTCAAGATGTTTTGATTTGAAGATCGAAGATAGATCGATGTGATGATTCATACTCAGCATTCATTGACGTACAGTCTGGCCATGGTCCGTAATTTTTTGTTGGAAGAGGTAAAACGTACGGTACTGTAGCCCATCAGATTCGTCATGATTATTTTTTGGCGGGCATACGTGCCACGCATTACGAGTACGAACGCGCACGTGCTTCTAAAGAAAATATCATTCTGTACTCTGTACGGTACGTGGTACCGTACATTGTTTAATGCAGGGATGGTTTCAGCAAAGAGACATTACATACGGTACAGTAAAGTATAAGTACAAATCAGAATACATACGGTACGGATTACTTGTGCCGCGCGAGTAGCTAATTGCTGAAAGCTACGGTAGATACCGGTACTGAGGAAGTAACTTGCTATCAACGACAAAACACGACTGATATTATTTTTTAAGATCAATATATCATGCCATATATACTAAAGCCCAAATGCTACTGAAATTCATATGGTCCACTGCAGACAAACGAACCCTTTTTTCGAACACTAGCGAGACAGCTGGTGAAACAATGACCGCTCATACAATATCGAATGTTGAAGAAGAGTCGAACAGTCATTATTTGATAATATAGACGTCAACTCAAGACTTGGTCCAGGATCAACAGAGAAAAATTCTTCGAGGTGGAGTTAGATGTCGTATCCGATGTTGGTTTTCAAAACACTGGATTGTCGACCAGTCTATCGACGACGGAACTTAAAATTGGGACCGGAACCAAAACTGACTGTATCAAACTATCAGACTTCATCTTGTGCTAATAAAAATTGCGAACGCAATCCCAGCTTTCAAGATATTACAATTGCAATGAGTGACGAAATAAAAGCCCTCCAAGACGAGGTTCGGAGAAGGGCGGAAAAAGAGAAACATTTGACCGATACCCAAGCTCGAATAAAAAAACGGGAGCAAGAACTCGCAGAAGAGTCTTTACTAAAACAACAGGAGCGGGGGAGAGAGTTGGAAGCTAAATTCAAGGCCGAGAAAGAGGAAGAAGCATCCAAACTAGCCGAGATGCAACGACGGAGGAAAGAGCGCCAGGAAGAAATAGATCGTGAATGGGAAGTGAAGGAGCGAGAGGAGGATCGACGGGAAACCGAATTCAACCAAAAAGTCAAGGAGGAGGAAGCCCGAATAATCAGTGAGAAACTAAAAGCACAGGAGGACAAAGAAAAAAAACAGAAAGAATCCAAAGAGAGAATAGAACAGCTAGAGGAAGAACTCAGGAAGAAGTCAGAAGCGGAGAAACGAGAAGCCGAAGAAACTGCCACAGCGGAAAGACTTGCACAGGAACAGATCGCTCGTGAGGAAAGAGAACGAAAGGAAGCGGAACAAAAAGAAAGGGAGGAAAAGGCTAGGCTAGAAGAAGAGAAAAAACGGCGAGAAATCGAGGAGCACAATGAAATCATAAAAGCGAAAGAAGCTGCTCAATTAAAGGTCGTTGCAGAACAGCAACGTGTCAGTATGGAAAAAAATCTGAATGCCAAAAAAAATACCGAGCAACGGGCACAGGAACTAGCCGAAGAGTCAGAAAAAAAGCAAAGACAGATCGAAGAGAAGCTATTGCAAGAGGCGGAGAGGATTCAAAACGAAAAGACTGAAAGAGAGAGAAAAGAAGCCGAAATAAGAGAACTCAAAGAAGCGGAGCGTCTGAAGCAATGGGAAGAAGAAAATCGCAAGGAAGAAGAGGAAATGGAGGCAAGACGGCTCGAAAACATGGCGATGGCGAATAAGGTACTGAAGGAGCGAGAAGCGGAGCTAGCAGAAAAGGCTAAAGAAATGGAAGATGCCAAAAACCGTGCACGAGAACGAGCTGCGCAGCTTAAAAAAGAATCAGAGGCTAAAGCTAAAGGACTAAAAGAGCAGGCAGAAGTTGAGAAACAAGAGCGCAAGAAGAAAGAAGCTGCCCAAAAAGCCGAGGCAGAAAGATTAGAAACCGAAAAACTAGCCAACAAAGAGAGAATCGCCAGAGAGCTAAAAGAAAAACGTCAACAGGAAGAAGAAAATGCCGCAAGGCAGGTCGAAGAAGCGGAGAGAAAAGCAATGGAACATAAACTGAATAAGCAAGAGCAACAAAGGCTGAAGATGGAAGCAATGCGACAAAAAGCTGAACAAAAAAAGAAAGAAATGGAAGAAAGGCTTGCGAAAAAGACTGCTGAAATCGAAGCAAAGATGAAAGAGGAAGCGCGTTTACGAGAAGAAAAAAAACTAGCTGAAGCAGCAGAGAAGGAGCGCATACTCGAAGAAAAAAATGCACAAAAAGAAAAAATTCTCAAGGAACAAGAAGAAAAAAAGAGAACAGCAAAGGAAGAGCTGGAACGACAGAGAGGAGAATATTTGAAAGAGGTGGCACTTGCAAGAGAAGAGAAATTACGAAAACAAGAGGAGGCCAAACTCGAGAGAGAAGCTCGAATACAAGAATTGAAAGCGAAGGCGGACGCAAAAACAAAAGCACGAGAGAGAGCATTGATAGAGGAAAGGGAAGAAAAAGAAAGACAAGAAAGGGAGAAGGCAGAGGAAGATCTGAAACGAGAACAAGAACGAGCTGCGAAGAGAAGAGAGAGAGAGGAAGAAATTGCGGAGAGAAAACGTTTGGAAAAAGAAGCCGAGGAAGAAAAGGAGCGCCAGGACATTGCTAATGCGTTCGACCTGTTACAAGAGGAGGAGCAAGAAGAACAAAGGAAACGGCAAGGTATGTATCGGAAATTCGGGAAGGTTGACCTCATGATTCACAATATCGATTGATTCTGACAGTGTGTTCCTCTTGTATGTAGCTGCAAAACGTGCAACAGCAAAGAAAGCTAAGCAAATTGAGAAAGAAGCGAGAAAGAGACAGGAGATCCGCGAGGAACAACTTGCTGCAGAGGCCGCCAGGTCTCGGAAAAGTGAGGCCGAACTGGATAAACAAGTGGCGGAAAGGGCGCGAAGGTTCGCAGAAGAGGAACTCAAGCTCCAGGAGATACTCAAAGGCAAAGAACTCCGAGAGAAAGAAGCGATGGAGGCAGAGGAAGCCCGCAAATTGGCTTCGAAGAGGGCTAAGTTGAACAAGACACAAATCGAGGAACTGAAACGAGCGGAGGCTTTAGCAATGGCGAAATTAAGGGCCGAGGAAAAAGCGTTTTTACTAGGAGAGCAAGCTAAGCAAAAAGAACAAAAAATCTTGATGCAAGCGACCAAGGACCGCCTCAAACGAGAGAAAAAGGAAAAGGAGCTCGAAGAAAAAACGAAAAAATTGCAAGAAGAGGCGTTGAACATGCAATCCCAGCTCGAGAAAATGGCAGAAAAAACAAAGAAAGAACAGGAGCAATACATAACTCCCACCTACAAGCTAACGAAAGACAGCGAAGAAGAAGAAGACGACGATGACAGCAGTGTCGACGAGGTATTTGGGGCGACGCAACCAAAAAGAGTCTCACTGCTTTCCGCATCTTCAAAGTCCTTGGGGATTGATAAGGACTTTGACACAAGCATTAAGATCGACTTCGACGACCACATGACATTTGAAGACTTTCTTGACGCGGAAGAAAAACGATTAGAGATCGAAGAGATGCTGGCCAAGGAGAACGCAGAAAACGCAAACAAAAAATTCGACGTGAGCGACGGAACACTCTTTCGTGATGGAGATGACGGCAATGTTGACCATGATCGTATAGCAGCATGGAAAGAGAGAGAAGAAAAAGTGAGAGCGGAGAGAGAAAAGGAGGCAAAAAAGCAAGCAAAGAAAGAGAAGGAAAAGAAAAAAAAGAAAGAAGAAAAAGAGAAGGACAAGAAGGACAAAAAGGAAAAGAAGGCAAAGAAGGACAAGAAGGACAAGAAGGACAAGAGGGACAAGAAGACAAAGAAGGACAAGAAGGACAAGAAGGCAAAGAAGGACAAAAAGAAGGACAAGGACAAGAAAGGAAAAAAAGAGAAAAAGGCAAAGAAAGACAAAAAGAAGGATAAGGACAAGAAAGGAAAGAAAGATAAAAAGCCAAAAAAAGATAAAAAGGCGAAGAAAGTTAAGGAAACAAAAACAACAAAGACGAAAAACAAAGTGAAGGGGGCGAAAGAAAAGAAGAAGAACAAAGGTTCTAAAAAATAACCAACACTAGAGGATTTAGCTACTTTGTACCAGCATTCAATATGATCCGCATGCACGAGCCAATTCGAACTTCGTGATATTTATCGTTATTTGTCTTCTGTTTGAAGACTGCACGGTTGTACGGTAGCATCTGCCCTCTTCCTTTTGTTAGTGCACGCACTCTTCGTCGAATGTTTCGACGTCCGTGACCGCTATTCCTTCCTCAGGTCGATTCCATTTTTTCGACGCCAGCAACGATTTTTGCATCCTCTCGATTTCCAAACGCATGGCTTCGATCGTTCGATCCTTCTCGGCAATCTCCGCGTTCTTTTCCGCCAGCTGCCCCCTGAGAACCTGGATCTCTTTGTGTGCCCGCGGGGTTTTGAGCTCAACGGCATCCACGAGTGCGCTCGCCGTGGGTCGTTTCGATGGGTTTGGATGAGTGCAGGCCAGGATGGTCGAAGCAATGTCGGGATGGTTCTCCTCGAGCCACCCGGGGACGCGCTGGTTGCGGCATTGCTGGAAGTTGTGCAGGCGTTCGTGTTCCGTCTCGAAGCAGCACACCAGTTCCAAGAGGATCAGGCCGAGGCTGAAAACGTCGACCGCCGTCCCATAGGTATTGAGCTGTACCTGCTCCGGGGCTGCATACGATGCGGTGCCGATTCCGGCTGTCAGATTGTCACCCACGGTGTTGCACCGGACGAGGGCTTGGGCCGCGGGACGAGTCTCGCCGCGCAAGGGAACTATCGCATCGTTGCGCGATGGCGACCTGTTAGAGAGCCCGCTGTAGTTCTTGGACGGCGATTGAGGCCGCGGCGATGTCGGCTTGCTGCTGCCAGCTTGCTTTTGTTGCTGGTGGACAATTTCGTGGAGCTGTTTGCTGAGCCCGAAATCGCCGAGTTTTATGACCTTTCCATCGCTGCTGGAGAAGATGTTTGCCGGTTTCAGGTCCCGGTGAATGACATCGGATTTGTGAATGTGAGCTAGACCGCTACATATTTGTCGGAAGATTTCTAGGGCCGGTCCCATGCGTTTTTCGTGGTCCGATTCGGGTATTTGTAGGTTGCGTTCCCKGATCCAGTCCTGGAGGGTTTTTGGGAGACAGAGCTCCATCTGGATGTAAAGGCTGATTTTGTTCCGATTCTGTGCCCGATTTCGCGGATCCTTTCTTGCATTGCGGGAGGATTCGGCGTCGTTCGTGGAGTCCCAATAGTAATCGTCGTAGCCACTGTCCGGGGACCAAGACGAAGAATCATCGTTTTGTGGCAACGATAGATCTTTCACGCTAGGTGCTTCGATCGCAAGTGTTTCGCGGGCACCGAACGAGTCGCTTGCGTTGCTCGTCATCCAGGTCGGTTCCCACCAACTTGTGTAGTAACTGACAATGTTTGGATGGTCGTTGACGACAGCCAAGCACTGGACCTCCCGAATGACCCTCTCGATGCTTTCGTGGGAGTATCCCATAATGTCGAACGTGATTTTTTTGACGGCGTACTCGCATCCATCCAGCTTCCGGATGGCCCGGTACACCGAACCAAAGGCACCGGAGTTCAGCAGAGCAATTTCCTTGAATTCCCGTTGGTAATGACTCATCGATAGCGGATAATGCTTTACGTCCCATGATTTGGGTTTGTCACGAGTGCCATGGTCGATCGGCAAACGATCTCCGTCGGTCGCTGTGCCTCTGGTTGTTGGGTGTTTCTTTTTGGTGCTGTTGTCGTATGCATTGTCGTGTTGCTTCAGCTTGTTTCGAATCCTGTCCGCCTCCAGTGACCTGAGGGTCTGCGGGCTGTGAAGAGTCGTCACTTCTGGGACGGCACTGCCAATGTGATGCAACACATTGGTCGTGGGGCTCAGAGCCTGCTCGGTCGTGTCTCCGATCGCAGCCAGTCCGCTCGAAGCATGGATTGCAACGACCTCGCGATCCCCGTGGCGGTCGACGAGCACCCCCAAGGATTCCCGTTGGTCGCCCACCGCCACGACCGAGACCCGGTTTTCGGTCGAGGTTCCGTTGGCCCTGGCGTTTGCGTTTGCGGCTGTGGCGCTCCCGGGCGCGATCGCCACCAGGCCCTGCGAATCCACCTCCGACGCCGGAAACAATCCGAGGTCGGAGAGAAAACGAATCGCCTTTCGATCGAAGATTCCCTGCTCGTAAAAATCCAGCACGTGGACACTGGAGCAACGCATTGGTATTCGGATTGGTATTGATATTCGCATTGGTATTCGGATTGGTATTCGGATTGGTTGGTTCCGACGGGTCGGCAAGAAAGAAGGAAACAATGGCAGAACATCCGGAACCGCGGTCAGCGAAAGAGTACTCATCGAATGCATCGTGAACCACTCCACAGCAAAACAAAGCAGCAGCAACCGCAAGCATTCCCGGCAGCTAACCCACTTACGCGAAGGTTCGAGGCGTCGGATCGTGAAGGGCACACAAATGTCCGAGATAAAACAACAACCAGAATTGCCGCGCGTCCGGCTTGGTGTCGGGTGGCTGCCCAGCCTCTGGTTCTCGCTCTGGCGCTCGCCCCACCCCCTCGGCGCCGCCGAGGCTTGGAAGGCCGCTCTCCCATTCGTTCTCGTCGGGCGACACATCGATCGACGGAATGGAAGAGATCGACGGGATGGACGACATCGAGGACACGGTCTCGACGGAACCGTCCATCGAAGACGATCGGGCACCGCGGGACTTGTGGGTTCCATCCTTGTCGCCACCACCCCCCGTCTCACCGGCCTTGTTCGTTTGCATTCCTCCAGCGGGTCCGTCCGGGAGGTCCTGTTTTGTCCGCCACTGACCAAGGGGCCGAGATGCGCTGCCGAGTTGCAAAGGTGCCGAGTCTTCCGCGGGATGGTCGTGGTGCTTGTCGCCCGATGGACATCTTCGGTCGTCGTGTGAAAATCGAAAAAAACATACAGTACCGTACTTTACGGTACGGTACGTACGATACGGTGGTGCCCGCCCGCTTTCTCAAAATCTTGCGGTTTCGAAACGTGTCATGTTCTTTTTCCCGGGCCTTTTTTCAGCGAAAAAAATCGTGCCGTACAGCACAATGCATGGAGATGGAGATACTGTACCGAACGTACGGTATGGTACCTGCGTACGACCTATCGGCAGCTGTGAGTGCCATCCATACGATACGTACGTAGCGTAGCACATTTCACGTGAAGCAATACCGATGCTCGTACTATTGTTACCTATTCCTACTCGTACATTCTCTACTAGCGGCGCCGTACGGTGTTCGTCGATTTTGAGGTGAAAACAATCATTGGCTATTTTGCTCCCCCCGCCCCTTTTCCCTCTTCGAATTTCCCCAATTTGAACTGATTTTTGATTTTTCTGTCACGCTCTCAACCTGGCTAGATGAACTCTTTCGAAATCCTTTTCGGACGATGATTTTGAAAGAAAGATGATCGATTCCCAGCCGTCGGTCGGGTGTGTCGTATGTCGCACGTATTGTTCTTCAGTTCAATTAAATTCAATTCCATCCCTCATCATCCTATCGGCGGTACGAGCACGCACCGTAGGGTTCCTACAACGAGTACGGTACCATACCGCATCACAGACGAGATACAATCGTTCGTACTCGTACTCCATCTGTATGGTACCAGGTACCGTACACATCAAGCACAATCATCGTCCGTATTGCTGTACTATTCGAATCCGATTCCATTCTCGCAAGCAATCGGATCCACCTCGTCCACTACCCGACACAGCACAACAAAGCACAGCACAGCACAACAAAGCACGGCACAGCACAGCTCAGCTCAGTACAGCACAACAAGGCACACGGGGCTCCCAGACGAAACCAAAAACCCGCCGAGTCCAAACCCGACGCAAACACCGGCTAACAAACCAAACCAAACCAAACCAAACAAAACACACACACACATACACACACACACACACCACCGCAATGCTCTTTCGAAGTTCCTCCGCCCTCCTGGCGGTCCTGGCCCTGTCCACGACCGACGCCTTTGGCATCCGCACCGCCGTTCGCAAACCGTCCGCAGCGGTGAGAGTTTCTGTTTCTTCCCCCCTTTCCGCCCCGGTTGCGACCCGCCTGGGAATGGCCGAGGAGGAAACCACGGAGGAGACCTCCGACGGCGAGGACGCCCCCGCTGCCGACGACATTCTCAGCTCCCCCGCCTTTCTCAAGCGAAAGGTGGAGGTCCTCGAGAGCGACATTGCCAAGACCGAGGAAGACCTGGTCGCGGCCACGGAACGAAAGGAAATCGCAAAGGAAGAATGGGGACCCCAGCTCGAAGCCCTTGAACGAGAGGTACGTGGTTCTGTTCTGTTCTGTTCGGTTCGGTTCGGTTCGATGGAAAGGAAAACGAGGGGTCGGTCGGACCAGAGCTCTGGGTGGAACCCGGGAGATTCCCTCTGGTCTCGGGACGGAAGAGCCCGCAAAAGCCGCGAATGCAGTGCATCGGTTTGCTGACAGCATTCCTGTTTTTCCCTCTCTCTCTCTCTCTCTCGCAACACCCATTTCTCCTCGCCGGACAACACGCTTTTGTTTCTGCGGTTCGACGCACGCACAAATTTCGCACCATCCAACACACGACACACAGTACACGAACATCCAGCAGCGAATGACGGAACAAAACCAGGAGGGCGACTCCGACGCAAAGGTTCGGGTCGTGAAGGGAATTCTGGATCTGCTCGACAACTTCGATCGGGCTTCCGGCGTCATCGTGGCGGAGACCGAAGCCGACCAGGCCATCGAGGCGGCCTACAAGCAGGCCTACCAGGACATCTTGGACAAGTTCAAAGAGATGGGAGTGACGGAGGTCGAGACGGTCGGAACGGAATTCGATTACGAGCTGCACCAGGCGGTCATGCAAATGCCCGGGTCGGAATACGAAGAAGGATTTGTCTGCCAAGAATTCCAAAAGGGATTTATCATGGGAGAATCGCTCATTCGTCCCGCTATGGTAGCGGTTGCCATTTAAAATAGACCGGCGCAGCCGATGCAACACCAATAATACAGTATCCAACGAACACGAACAACATTGCTTCTTGTGTTTTTACTTTTTTGTTTCCAAAGGATCTAGATCAGCTAGCACATAGAAAATACCGTAGCATTAGAACAACCACATACAGAATGTCATTTGCATCGCGCCCTTTCGAGCACAGAGCAAGAACGGATCGAACACGCACGATTCTCCCAGCATGGTCCGCAATGGAACGTGGTCACTTCCCCCCCTCACCAGATTTGCAAACATCTGAAATTTGCTATTCTTTTCGTCTCGACGGACCACAAGACGAAGTTTGTGGAAATCTTTGAAGAGAATCAGTAGAACCACCCAAAAAAGCGAGGAAATCCGGTGCACTTTATGGAACGGTGTCGGCTTCAGGAAGGCATTTCCTACTTTTTCCCGCACAGTACCGTGTGCCGTTCTACGGGGCCTGGATACCCTCCGCCACCGCACACTTTGCTGTTCTCTCCACAACCAACAGTGGAAACAGGCAGCCGAACGCATTTTGTTTGGGCAAGAGAATCTAAGAGAGACCGCAACGAACGCTGCGACCATGCAAGGGATACGCTAATGGTGGTGCGAAACAATTCGGCAACGTTTATGGCATTCGTTCCATCTCCGTGTGTCGTCCCTGGCCCGATCCGTTTTGAGTCGAACTAATTTGAGCTGAGACAAGGTATAGTATACGTTTGAATCAACTCTTGCACATAATCTCAAAAAGTGCAACAGGAATTAGCATTAGTCTATTACCTTAGTTACTGTCTTGTAATACTATACAGATGACGAAGCAAGCATCGCATTGGGGCCGCGATAGCTCATCGTTGTTCGCCTTCCATCGATTCCGAGTGTGGGCATCTCTCTTGATTCTCTAGTATCGTTCGCTCATTCGCTTCGCCACGTTGCGCATGTTGTTGTAGACTTTTCCCGGCGGAGCTCCAAGAACCAGGTCGCAAATCGCGTTTCTCGCCACTCGGAGATTGGCGTAAGAACCCAGCATGTGAATCCTTTGGTCTGCCACGACGATTCGAGTCCGCGTCGCGTTTTCGATGGCAAATCGGGTCTTACCGTCTTGACCGGCAACACGACCCACTGCACGGGACAAATGGTCTCCCTTCAAAATCTTTACATCCGTTACATTGAAGCTCTCCACGTACAAATCGTCCAAACGGAGCAGGGCTACCGCATCCTGGACCTCGAATCCCATCATGAATGCGCTTACAAAATCTGCTCCCTTTTGCAGGCCGCCAACGTCAAGCGTGTGAGGTGAAGTTTTCATCTCGACGGAACGAGTTTTTGTGTTGAATCGAACCTGTAGAATGCGATGAAGACGGCGCGAACAAAAGTTAGAAACTAGTGACCCATTTAGAATGATATACAAAACGCATATTAGACTGTTGCGCAACGAAACTAATCTGTAAAAATCACTTCGTTGCTTTCATTACATCAGACTGCAACCATAGGCCGCTCCATTTCGTTCCTTATACCGACGAGGCTTCCCGGAGGGTTTAATTCCAAGAACAACACGAAGGACATTCCGCTCATGGATAATTTCTTCCTCTGCAATATTGTAGTATTCTTCAACGTTCTCGGCTGACAACACTAGTCACCGACACAGCTACCAAAAATGAATGCACCTACCTGTAGTTTTAGGTATTCCACTAGTGGAGTCAAGATCTGCTCCCAGTGCTCACGCAAGGGTGTATATCTGTGCGGAGGGCATCGCACCCGGCGATACTCGATCTTGTTGCCAGACGCTTGTGCTGCGGACAGTTTTGGGAAAATGGGTTGGTCGCCGTCTTCCATCATGGCAGCATCTTCCTTCTGGATGGACGCCGACTGTCGAATCCGCGATTGGATCACCGAAGCATCAATCGTCGTAGACGCAGCGGTCAATTCCATGTGCAGGGGAGCAGATTGCTCTTCCGTTCCGTTTTGTTCGTAGTCCATCATATTGCTGTGTGAGTGGGATGCTCTGGATTCCTATTATCAGGATGTTGTTCTCGATATTATTTGTGAGAAAGCATAGAGGCATTGTTTCTTTTTTGATCCGATGTTCTTCCTACGCACCGTCACGATTATCCGCGGATCGAAAACCTTCTTACCGTAGAACGGCAACTCCTTGAAAATCTCATTTTGCAGTATTTGCGTATTTTTGGAATGAGTGGCCTCTTGTCTTTTCGTCTAACCGTCGACGGCATTCTATGTTTACTCGAGAAATACGGCTAGTACGGTACGTAGATACGTACGTACTGCACAGAAAAGGTAAAAAATCGCAGGGCCCTCCATTAGTTTTTAAGGAAGACAGTTGCCAACCATTATCAGGATTTCCCATACTAGTAGGTTTTTTCCATGTTGCAAATGTCTAAACAAATGGAAACAAAGAGAGAATTGCCTCGGCAATATTATTTTGATTCTCTTTGTAAAAAATCAAAAAATCAAGGAGAAACAAGAAGGAGAAGCAATATTCTCTTTGTTGTTTAAACATGAAGAAACAAAGATAATATTGCTCGGGCAATATTCTCTTTGTTGTTTCTCTTTGCATGAACGGGAATTGTCCCCATCATTTCACCATGTAAAAATACAGAGAATAGTGCCCAGGTTATATTCACTCTGCTTAAACAAAGAAAAACAATGTGAAACAAAGAGAAACAAGAAGGAGAGGAGGCAATATTCTCTTAGTTTCTCTTTGTTAAAACAATGAGAAACAATTAGAACATTGCCCTTCTAAACAAAGAGAAAGATTCTCTTTGTTTCTCCTTGTTTCACAGGGTGTACGGGAAACTATTTTATTTTTAAAAAATTCTAACTGAGGGCCCAGTGTGTGACGTGTAAGGATGGTGATTCCCGAATAGCTAGTGAATAACCTTGATCTTTTCTGTGAACCAGGCAGAATTGCACCAGAGGAGAGTATCCTTGCATTTCAAAACATCTAATTCTCTCACAAACCATCATCATTAGAACAACAATTGCAAACAATCAACAGGAGACCAATTAGTAACTTCTTTCCTTACTATTACCGCAGAGCTAGTATCCAAACTGAAGAATTCTTGTTGTTGTTCATCTTCTACATCACACAAGAAAATGGATTGGGCATACTGCACATTTTGCATTGTTGTCAACACCATCAAATATTTGGCACTGACCATTTCAATTTTAGTGACAAGGAAGTCAATTGCATCAATAAACATAGTTTCTTTCACTAATCTTCTTTCAGAGAACATTTTTCTTGATTTAGCACTCATTGAACCTTGAACTTGTCACAGAACTTTATGGAGCAGACATGAAAAATACTCTCCTCCCCAAAGGAAAACACTCTGGTTCCCATCATCATCCTTATTTCAGAAAGGAGTTCCCAACGTAACCACTTTCCCGCTCTCCATGCCTTGGCAGCAAATATGGCTCCACCCAAGCTGAAGGTGTTCTATTAAAATTGTCACAGGTTCAGAGATGGGAGTAACCAGCATCCACAATTCTTTAGTGCCAAATGGAACAAAATAACATGACTCATTGGATCTGTCCAACTCTTGACCCATCTCTCCCATAGTCATATTTGTTTCCACCAGTGTTACACTTGCTGTGGGGACAGAGTCCATGATTTCAGTTCTTCCTCTCTTTACATAGTAAAACAAGGACAAGGAGCACTTGAGTAAACAATTTGTTTTCATCTTCTAGTAATTTTTCCTACTGCCTTACAGAAACTAGTACCCTGGTGATGGTGTTCAGTATAATGTTATCAATGCATCTTGTTTGTTGTGCATTGCTGTCAAATACTAAATCTCTATTGGTAATTGAAAATGATTGCTCCCCATGTTACTTATGGTGCAGGAATGCATCACACATAGATCTGTTCGAATATATTTTTGTTGCAGAATGATTTCCAGTTTCCAGTGGAACAAATCTTTGATCGACATGTTTGGCTTTTTGTTATGTATGTTCATCTACCTGCTGTATATTTTTAGATAATATGATACAATTTTGTCTTAAAATCAATTTCAGTAAAATCCTCTCGTAACTCTCCAAAAAAGGGGCAAGGAATTTCTAGACAAAGACAGAGCCAAGAGTTGAAACTGGTTGTCAACGTAAACTGTGTCTTGGTCACTACTACGTTTCAAAGTGAAGCAATCAAATGAAGATTGATCTATTGGAAAAACGGTTTTAATGGTGTGGGTAGAGAATTATTTCTTCCGAGCATCGAAAAATTGTTGACCATCATGCTCTATGCATGTTGTTTGTATCCCCCCAGAAAAATCAATCACAAACGGCTTTCAGTAATGAATGCTTACATCTGACAAGATTTTACTGCAACTAAAAATTGGATGTTTACCGTTTTTTTGGAGCGTGGTCCTTCCAACCCCCATTGTATGTCCCATGCCAATAGAGGCCTCCATCTCTGTCCGTCTTCCAGCATAGTCTCTCGGTATCGTACTCGATCGCTTCTCCGCTACTTCTTGCCTTGGGCCGTCTCCCCTTCGTATTGCCCTTCTTCTGTTTCTTTTCGCAGTTGATCTTTTGGTTCTCAGACGAGTATTTTGTGCCGCCAACCCCGGATACACTATCGTTTGATTCTTCTTTTTCCGAGGCAAAATCCGTTCCATTAGGATGTTTCTTCCACCCGCCGTTGTATGTTCCGTGCCAAAAATAGTTCTTTTCTGTTTGGTAACAATCGTATTCTACACTATAGGTGACTTCAATACCAACGTGATCGTTCCCCCTCGGCCGCCGTCCCCGACTACACGGCGCCGGACGTTTGCGGTTCGCGACCAACGCATCAGGAGGACCCTCTTTCCATCCACCGTACTTCCTGCCGTGCCAATAAAACCCGTTCGTCCCAACGAAACACGAGTGTTCTTCGTCCCACGAAACATGCCCAATCTTGGCATTGCCCAAAGGGGGCCTTCCCTTGCCGCTTACAAATACCATTTTTGGTTTGCTTCATCAAAATCTAGAGATTCTGTTCTCCACTCCTACAAACAGCGATACGTGTGCTTTTTCCACCAATCTTTAGGGGATAGCTGTCACATGCCGAACTCTTCTTTGCACCCGTTCCAGTCTACTTGTACGGTATGTTCCAACAGAAGTTGCCATCGAAAAACCTACGGTACGATTACTGTTTTTAAGACACTGCACCACCGTATTTCTCGGACGATTCTTGCTCTCTCCCCTCTAAAAAATGTTTACAATTATTATGGTCTCTTTAGTAGCATGTACGTACGGTACCGTACCATGCGTACGTGCTCGTACTGCTTGCATGCAATGCATCGAACCGGTATGCAGGAAAAAAGTTCGCTAACAATTTTGCGCGCCATACGATTTTGTAGCTGTTGTTGCGAATAGATAGATGGCGCGGTTCGTACGTACCGTACGTTCTAGGACGGTTAAGTACGTACTGTTCTTTAACGTATTAGTATCAATTATGATCATCATCAGCATAAAAGTGCGGTACGTAGAAGATATTGTCCGATGTCCAGACCCGTGCAAGTGCGAACACTTTGTGACAAACAATGATGCTAGCAATTTTGTTCTGTTTTCATGATTCAACCACCCTTTCTCTCGTATCCTTCAAATGCTCTTCGTTTTTGTCATCATTTTTTAGCATTGGTTATCATTCATTGTTGGTTTGACGCCGTCACGTGTAGAAGCATCCACGACAATGCCTTTCACCAACCATTATCATGATTGGTTTGCTCCGGAAAGAAAATCTCTTCTTATAATTTCGTTGCTGTTGATACAAAACGTTGCATTTGCCTCGTCGATGTCGTCCTGCAAACCGATCGATTCTGCGGATCTCGCGCATGAGTACCAGAACATCGTTTCAGAATACTTGACAAACGTCGACGACATTGCCGTCTTGACCGACGACCCCGATGGCTGGTATTATATGCACATCGAACCGATGCAATCGAATGGCATCCAATGGAACATTGTCGCTGGTCCCCGCGTCGTAGTAGCAGATGGAGAAGACGAGGTGCAGGCCCTGTGGGAAAGCTTTTCGAACCGTAACTTTTCTTTTCACCAGTGGTCACATTTCTCTTCCTGTACAAAAAGGAACGGCGACGTTCAGACTGATTTGAGGTACCACGGTATTGTAAGGGAGGATGAAGACGGAAACATTCAGGATGTCTTCGGTACCGCTACAGTAGTGGTCAAAACAGACGGAAATAGAGCTGGTCTTGTCACAGAGGTTACAGCAACACGCTCTGAAACGCTAGAGCGTCCATATTAGGTCGGAGAGTACAAGCGACCTGGTGACGACTGAATTGGAAGGCCTGGTCACACTTTCAAATTATCAACGATGAAGCGTTCTTATATTGTGTTATAAAAAATATGTTAAGCATTACATTAATGATTCCTTTCAATATTAAAAACGGCCGAAGATCATGTTTCCCGTTGCTCATTTGAATATTATTCATATGGTATCTAGGATCTTGCAATGATGATACACACAGAATTCAATGAATGCAGTCCGCATATAGAAGAACTCAAGTCTCTCATGGACTAGATTTTCCCATTACTAGAGCCAAGAGTGCCATTCGAACATACATGCCGTTTTCCATTTGTCGGAAATACGCCGCCCTTGGATCGGTATCTACTTCTGTCGCAATTTCATCGACCCGTGGTAATGGATGCAAGACGATCATATTTTTTGGTGCCAACTCCATAAATGCCTTGTCGATTACATATGAACCCTTCACACTTTCGTACGCCTCTTCGGTTTCAAAGCGTTCTTTCTGGACCCTCGTCACATACAAGACTTGTGCACCCTTGCAGGCTTCGGTGGGATTTTCAAAGAGTTCGGTTGCAACCCCATTATTTTTGCAATATTCAATAATATATTCCGGTACCACTAGACTTGACGGAGAGCAGAATCGCAAGACCAAATCAGATTGTGGACGCAACTGGGATAACAATTTCGCTAATGAGTGGACAGTCCTTCCATGTTTTAGATCTCCCAAGAAAACAACAACCTTTGGATCTTCCTTGAGTTCATCCCAAATAGTAAAGGAATCCAAGAGGGCCTGTGTAGGATGTTCCCCGATTCCATCACCTGCATTCAGAACAGGCTTCGTTGTTGCTTGGACGACCTTGGGCACGGATCCAGTTAGGGGATGCCGCAGAACAATGGCATCGACATAACACTCCAAACAACGGATGGTATCTTCCAGGGATTCTTTCTTCTTCGCGGCGCTCGAGTTTCCATTCCCGTCCACGTGAAGAAATTTCCCACCCAATCTCATCATTGCGGCTTGAAAACTGCAAGAAGTTCGAGTTGAGGCTTCGTAAAAAATAGTTGCAAGCAATTTATGTTTCAGTCGATCATCTCCGCCTTCCGACCGAACGATGTCTCTCATCTGTTGAGCGATTGTGACTAGGAAATCAAAACCCTTCGGCGTGATTTGGGTTACGGATACTAATGATTTTCCGATCCATGACTTTGGATCTTCCGTCAAGACTGCGGAGGTCTTCTCGTTACTTGTGGACGACGACATGGTTAGATCTAATATTTGTTGCAACTATGAAGCAAAAATCTCTATCAGAACCGTGTTTGACGATGGATGATTTCGTTGTGTCAAGAACGTTTGTGATTTTCTTCGTCCGAAGATTGGGTGGGAAAGACAGGACGTTACTTTTTCAAGAACGGTTGGCAGGAAGAGTTTGTCAGTCGTGACCTACACACGACTGAGAGAGTCAAAATAGAAAAAGGTTTTCTGGATCCTGGCTCACATGTTCTTGTTGTTGCTGCTGGTAGTACTACATCAGGCAGAGCTGAAAATACATGCTGAATGAAAGGTTGAGGCATAAACAAGATGCAGTATCAAAACAAGAAAGTTACATACTCATTGTATTGGAATGCACTTAGTACTAGTACTAGTAGTAGTACTACTAGTACTACTACTAGTAGTAGTAATAGTAGTACTACTAGTAGTAGTAGTACTACAACTAGTATTAGCTACTACTAGTAATAGTACTACTACTAGTACTACAACTAGTAGTAGCTACTAGTAATAGTACTACTACTAGTAGTAGTGGTGGTGTTGCATTGTTGTTCGTACTAACAAAATTAAGGTCACACCACCAAAGTGTTCCTAGTATCTATTAGTAGCAATCATATGATCATAAGTACAGTACTAGTAGTAGTAGTAGTAGTAGCCAGTAGTACTTCCACTACTAGTAGTACTACTAGTAGGAAGACAAGGAAAGTAGTTGTACTAGCTAGTAGTCCAAGTCCAAGTCCAAGTCCAAGTCCAAGTCCAAGTCCAAGTCCAAGTCCAAGTC